CGGACGACGATGCGGTGAGTGAGATGAAGATGGGCCGCTACTGGAGCAAAGAAGAGCGGAAGCAGCACCTGATCCGGGCCCGGGAGCAGCGGAAGCGGCGTGAGTTCATGATGCAGAGCCGGCTGGAGTGCCTGAGGGAACAGCAGAATGGCGACAGCAAGGCTGAGCTCAACATCATTGCCTTGAGCCACCGCAAAACCATGAAGAAGCGCAACAAGAAGATTCTAGACAACTGGATCACCATCCAGGAGATGCTGGCCCACGGCACACGCTCGGCTGATGGCAAGCGGGTCTACAACCCTCTGCTCTCCGTTACCACTGTCTGAGCCTCCCAGGTGGGAGCCAGCTGTTCTCCAGGTGCTGGCCCTCTGCCCCAGCCCAGGTTCAGTGAGCCTCCAGGGACCCTGCCCCCTACTCTCCCTTAGAATCTAGTGTGTGTCTGTATGTGGACAGGTGTGCGTGTACCGTCTTTGTGCACAGGACTTTGTTACCAGAGAGAAGCCTCTGAGGAGCAGGGGCACCCCTTCAGCTGCGTGCGTGTGTGTACGCAGCACGAGCCCAGGCACAGGCACGTGCACACACTCATGCACAGCCCTCTAGCGGTCTCTCAGTGTGGGAACTTGGGCACAGGGAAGTTGAGCTGAAAAGGAGGTGAAGAGGATTGTCCTAAGCACAAGAGAATGTCCAGCTTCCGAGCTGAGCAGTCTCTTCCCCTGCTGGGAGCCTCCACTGTTTGTAGACAAAGGCAACCCTGATTTTTGTGGTTTTTCTCCCTTTCTGTGCTTGCCAATTGTTTTTCTGTTTTGTGCACCTTCCCTGGGGACTGGCAGCTCCTTCAGGCAGTCTGACGAAGGTGGAATCCCCTAGTGAGGGCTGGGAAGGAGGTGGGTGGGGGGGGTGGGATAAGAGGGAGGGTTGGGTGGGAGGGAAGGGATGGGAATGAAGGGGAGGGATGGGAAGCAGCTTTCTCTGAGGTGTGGGGACAAGGAGCCCCTGACATGGCTTGCGAGGCTCACCCTGGGGCTAACTCCTCTGAAGAGGGAGAGCTGAGACTAGGGGGACTGAGGGGACAGTATCCATCCAAGAAGACATAACTGAGCCCAGGGCTGTGCCTGACTCCAAGACGAGTGTGGCTTCTCTTCTGAGGGTCGTGCTTAGACATGAGTGATCCCGAAGCCAAAGCCCATGAGTAATAGCAAAAGACTTTTGTGACAAGAACCACATGGAGTTGAGGGAGTGGCCTGGACCCGAATGAGAGGTGTGCCCAGCCAGCTGGGCTGACTGGGGAGAAGATGCCCTGCGCCCTGCTCTGCAGGTGTGGACTGGGCAGCCCTCAGGAACTGGTGCATTTATACTGAGAGCTGACCTCAGGCTTCCCGGGGCCCCTCGGCCTCAGTCTCAGACTGGAGTCAGATAGGCTGCCCATCCTTGTGCCCCACTGGCATCATGACAATAAAGCAAGCTGCCTTTTTATGGTGACTTCTGGCCTCCCTGTGTTCATTCTCATCGTGCTAGGAGAAATCGGTTTGGAGTGGGAGAGGGGTGTGTGTTGTGGGGGGAAGGACAGGGCAGGCGAGGACTGGGACTAACTGAAAGCTGTGCCTCCACTTTCCTTGGCATGTCACTAAGGAACAGCAAGGTCTTCTGATGTCAGTGTCCTGTATTCTGGGAGGAGGTATGACAGGGTCACTTGAATCATTTCAGTGGTGTGACATGGCCACAGGGGTGGTTCCCAGATGCAGGAAGGATGGCAGAAGCCTGGCTCAGGACTGGTGGCGGGGCTTGCCACTGAATAAGGCCAATACCCATTCCCTGGTGGAGCCTGAGAGAAGAGGGTTCCACTCACCTCCTCCCCTGCTCCAGAAAAGCCTCAGCGGGGGTAAGGAGCTGAGAGCTTCTCAGAGGCACAGGTTATCTTCTCTATTTGGGTCCCCACAGTGCTTAGCATGTAGAAGATGCTGAGTAAAAGTCTTGGCCAAATGAAGGGGCACCTGGGTGGCACACAGAGGGCCCTTCTGGCTCAGAGACTTCCAGAGGTGCAGCCAGATGCTGGTGGTTCCATTCAGTGAGCAAACCACTGGGCATCTTGTAAGTGCCAGGAATCATGCTGAATGCTGGGTGAGGGCCAGTTCCCTGAAGGCCAGCTCTGGGTGTGGCCTGTTCTGTGCGTGGCACTCCCTGGAGTGGGCAATTTGGCCATGGAGGGAGCTTCCCTTAAACAGACACTGGACACTGCTGGCAGCTGAAGCAAGCAAGGACACGGTAAAATAAGTCTCTTGAAACAACAATGTAGACCTCTTGTTAATTGCACTAATTGGCTGACATGGGCTTGAGCAAGGAACCCAGTTTATGTTCCCGGAAGCCCAGCACCCTGCTGAGAAGGCTGGTTCCCAAGTGGGCTACATCTGTTTGGCTGGCTGAGCAGCTGGGAGGAAAGGCATGTCACACTGCAGGCTGTGCAAGGCTCAGCAAGTGGGAAGGGAGTTAAGGACTGGGTGCAAAGGGATGATGGGGAGCAGAGGGGTAGGGGCAGGAGATGCTCCCTTTTCACCTCAGCTTTCTTCAGCCCTCCAGGACTTCTGGCTGAGGACTAGGTTCATAGACTCTTGTGACCAGTCTGTTTCCCTGGAAGGGATACAGGCCCATGAAGAGAATGGGCCTCCGCTTCCACAGAAAACGGGTGCTGGGGGAGTTGGAGATAGAACTCAGCTGATCCCTGGGCATCCCTCCAGCTGCTGGGAGACTCACTTTGATGACTCTAGAGCAGCAATTTTCAACTGGTATGTTGCAAGAATTTTAAAAACACGCAATACCTGATTAAACCTCTTTTTCCTTAGATTGTCCAATTTAAAAAAATGACAACAGCCAACACAATAGCCATCCCTTGTGAGTCAATAAAAATTATACCTTTTTTGGTCAGATCAGCAAAGATTTTCTGGCCCTGGCTGGTGTGGCTCAGTCAATTGAGTGCTGGCCTGCGAACCAAAAGGTCACTGCTTCCCAGTCAGGGTACAAGCCTGGGTTGCAGGCCAGGTCCCCAGTTGGGGGTGTGTGAGAAGCAACCAATCCATGTTTGTCTTGCACATCCATAAATTTTTCTCCCTCCCTTCCCCTCTCTAGAAAGTAAATAAAAATTAAAAAAATATTTTCTGGTGTGCTGCAGAATTTTAGAAGTTTATGTGTGCCATGAGCTGCTCTAGAGGCACCCCACTCTGGTTGCTCCACTGAGTTGGTTGGAGGCCCACTGTGCCAGGATTGTGGGCCAAGACGCCTGGAACCTGGAGTCCCTTGGCCTTATGAAAGCCAGCACTGGGGGCGTGGCACTCACTGGTTCTTGGAAAGGTGGCACCAGGAGGGTTGGCAGCCCTTGGCTATTGATATCCTGGAACAGTGACTTCACTTTCGGGTCTCATTGCCATTGGGCAGGGTGGCGGAGTCAGGATCAAAGTAACGGGGCTGCACACGGCTGCCACTGTTGAACTTGCCTCCCCTGCCCAGGTTGTTTGCTCAATGCACGACTTGAGAACTGGTCTCCTTTACCTCCTTAGAATGAGGGTGAGCACTGATCACCACCAGCAGGCTCCCCTTGAGCTCCCTCTGCCGGTCTTTGGAATCTAGCAAATCCAGCAACCAGCAGCCCTAGCCTGGCTTGGTCCTCAGAGGACTCAGCCCTACCTAACTCTCCTGCTGTGCTGCTTTAGGGAATGAGAACCCAGCTTTTCAGAGCCTCCCCATCCCTGCCAGTTGCTCCCATCCCGATGAGCAAGGAGAGGCTGGTGTCCCAGTCTGGAGGAGGTCCCAGGCAGTCCCACCTCGGTCACAAGCCGCTCTCCCCTCCCAGCCCTTCCTACTGCTACGGAGGACAGAGCCCAGAAACTGAGGAGCCCCCTGCTCTGCCAGGTAGGTTTTGGGCCTACTCTCCTTTTTGAGCACAACCTCTGGAGGCTTCTGTGTTCACAGAGCCCTATTTGTCTTCTGTAACAGTCAAGCACAAGGGTGCTGGCACTCCGTCAGAAGGGCCCAATAACACCCCCTCAAACCCGCCACTGAGAACCCCATAGGAGGAAGTCACCATGACAGAGCTGAGCAGACTAACTTGGATCATGTATGTGGGAAGGACTCCCCTGAGATTTGCCATCTAGCCCCCTTGGACCCCAGGGCCCTCAGCACCTCTGCAGCCACAGGTGGTACTAGTGAAACTGGTCTGGGAAGGAAGGCTGAAGGTTGGCCTGGAGCATGAAGCAGGAACAGGCATGTCTGGTGTCCTGAGGGGCACTGGGTGCTCAGGGGAGCAGGGCCACTAGGAGGGGAAAGTGCAAGTCCAAACCAGAAGCAGCGATGGGCTCCAGAGACATGGGGGTCATGGTCATCTAGTCCCTCTGCCTTCTGTGCGTCCCACCTGACACCATGAAGTGGGAGCACGCTGGGAAGCGACATGCAAGGGACAGGGTATAGTGTTTAGAAAGACCACACCCCAGACACCTGCCAGGTATATCAGCTTCGACCACATCAGTAAAATAGAGGCACTCACGACATACCACAGGAGAAGCACAAAAGCGCTTCAGCACGTGGCTTCTGCCCTAGGCTCCACAGGAGCCACTGGAGGCCAGGAGGGCTGTGTCTGTGTGTGTGTGGCTGACTGCTGGATTTCAGGGAGGTTAGGCAGTTGCACTCCTAATGGCAGGCGGTCTGAGGGGCCCTGCCCTAGGCAGGCCAGGGTGGGTAGGGGAGGGCAGGAGAGAACAAAGCAGTCCTCTCTGGGGGAAGAAGATGGCATGTGCTGGGGGAAGGGGCAACTCTATGCCCCACTCAAACCAATGCAGGCAACTGAGAGAGGGGTGGGCAATGGGTACTAGGTGTACCAGGCAGGGCAGGCTTAGCTGGGGGCTGAGGAAGGAGAGTCTGCGATAGCAAAGAGCAAAACAAACCCATGGGACAGGAATTTCTGCCCCATCTCCACTCTGCTGCACTGTCTGGAAGGCATGGTGTGGCAACACAAGTGAGGAGCCAGGAGCCATATAACTTTATTGAAAGAAACAAGGAGGGAGGGCTGAGAGCGTTACCCTCAGGCCTGGATGTGGCTCTTGGCGTTGAAGGCCAGGTAGTAGATCACTAGGCCGATGGCTGCGGCCAACACCTCGGTGGAAACCCAGGGCCCATTCCAGGTGCCCTGAAAGAAAGGAGACCAAAGCAAGCTCAGGGGATGGCCGGCAAGGGGCCCAGCCAGCCCTGGTTACCTTCTCTAGGGGACATAAAGGCTTGCTGGCCAACTATGGCCCAGCCCCCACCCCCTAAAAAAGAATGAGGCTTGCTGTGTGCTGGCTGTTTCCCAAGACCAGGTCAGCCTCTTCAGCTCACTTACCCGATGGTCCACACTGACTGTGAACAGGGGTGGGATGATGGAAATGTCCTCGTTATTTCTCTGAGCCTGAAAAGGAGGTGCTGGAGTGAGGGGCGTTGCTGAGTGGGGTGGGGTAGGAGAGGCAGGACCATTGGCTTGAGTCATGGGAGAAGAGAGAAATGTGTAAGGGAGAAGCACACAAGGTACAAGCACAGGTGGAGCAGGCGGATAGGAAGGCACGTGCCCAGGCTTCCTGCTCCTGTAAGCAAGGCCCCAGGTGGCCCAGAGCTCCAGGGAGAAGGGGCTGCAGGGTGGGAGGTGGCTGTGGAAGGAGGGTGTGCCCGCCTGCCAGCAGGCCTGGGAGGGGCTCCAGGTGATACTCACCTTCCTCAGGAGGCTGTAGGACTCCTCGTCGAAGAATCTGACCTCATAGGTACCTGCATGGGCACTCTTGTGGTCTAAGCTCCAGGATACCTGGGTTGGGTATGTGGTACAGGGTGGGCACAAAGGACACATCAGGGCTCCCCTGCCAGTGCTAATAACCCTGACCCTGCTTAACCAGGCCACCTCTAGGATTTCAAGTCACACTAGTGAGCAGTGGTCTTCCCCAAAAAATGACAACCAAAGCAACCCTTACCTGATAGCGACCCACATCCTGGCCCCGGGTGACAGGAAATTGTTTTCCACTGACATCAGCATAAAGAGCCATGTTCTGGGGGAGGGAACAAATGGAGAATCATTTTCCCTTATCTGGTTGTTGGCAGAGACCCCACAGTGCTGCCCACAGCAGCGCCTGTGGCCTGTGGGCAGGGAAGGCAGGCATGTTTGGGGACTGCAGTGTCTGGCATGGGATACCATGAGAGAATCATGGAGGTAGGCCTGGCACAACCCAGAGCCTTGCCAGGAAGCCAACACCCATGGATGCTGTCATTATCTGTTTCCTCAAAGAGGGGGTTGGGGACACATGACCTGGCCTCCCTATCCCACAACAAACTTGTTAGCTGTGAACAGGGTGGGATGATTTGAGTGTCCTCATTATTTCTGAGCCTGTATGGGGGTGCTGGGGCCACGGGGTGCCCAATGAGCTGCCCAAGAAGTGTTGTTGTACCCACAAAGCCCAACTTCCTTCTTTGGGCTGCAGCTTAAGGTCAGGGCCGAAGGCCAGGTCTTCTCAGTCTTAAAATTACAAAATACACACATGGACATATACTTCGGCAAAGAGCAGAAAAGGGATGAAGGAGCCTGGGGACTGACCCCTGGCTATTTCTTACTTCCACATACATGCTTTCAAGACACAGCGAAGTGTCTACCTACATTACTGCACTTAGACAAAGCAGACCAGGCAGCTTAGGAGAATGTTCTTTAAACACCTGCCAGAATGTGATCTTGGTATGCCCCGATCTTTCCTACACCTGTGAATCAAAATCCACATGGGTCCATGGGTCTGACCCCATCAACTGCCAGTTGAGCAGCTGATGCCCAAGGTCCTATGTTCACTACCCACGTCTCACCCCAGCACCCTCCTGGCTGAACACCCACTGCCTCACCTGGACCCTGTTCTTGCATGTCAGGGAAATCTCCACGATGAAGACAGTCTCAGTGGAAATGACGGCATCAGAAGTTGTATAGTAAGAAGGTGTGATCTGGGGCTCCACGCATGCCTCTGCTGTGGGGAGGAGGCAGAGAGATGCCTGGGTAAGGCCTAGCTTGTACGTGCCGGGCCAGGGGACAGTCAGGACCACCCTGACCCCAACTCCCACACTTCATCATCTGAGGACTCATGGGGCCCTTTGGACTCTGCCAGGTAGGATGTGGGAGACAGATATGAATGATCAGCCAGAAGTGCAGTGGCAAGGAGGGGTGGGGAATGGGAAGGCTTTGTACAGCTAGAACCTCAATGCAGGGGCGAAAGAAGAGCAGGTGGTGAGTCTTTGTGGGTGGCTGCATGGATTCACTGCACAACTTGCATCTGTCCCTGAACCTACAAGCAGGGAAGCCATGCAATTTGGGGCTGCAGCCTGTCCTGCCCTGCAGCACCCCGGAAGCCCAGGGACCTAAGCTGACCTCAATTCAGAGCCATGAAGAGCCCTAGAGTTTACTGAAGGCGTCCTCCACAGACACCAAACATGGTGCTGCCAAGCAAGCACGTGGGCTTTCAAGATGAGGGAAGAGTCTCTGACCCCAGCCACAGTTGAAATGCCAACACTAGCCCCAGTGTTTCCCAAGGGAAGGAAATGGGTGACGTTCTGGATCCAGATGCAAAACTTGTCCCCTTGAACAGGGCTACCCTGAGAGGAAAAATGCTGCCTTAGCCATCTCTGCACTGCTAGAGGCTACAGAGAAAGAAGGGTCCCACCTTAGTAACAGGGAACCAAGTAAATGCTACCAGTAGTAAAGTTCTCAGCCAGCTGCTCTCTGAATGTGGTGTCCGAGAGCCATGCCTTAGGTTGAGGCAGTCGGAGAAGGTTTTGGGTTTGGACATGGAAGATGCCTGACAACACTGGTGGGGATGGTTCTCAGGAGCCACATCCTGCAGATCCTTCTGTGCCCTGCTAAGCCTGGCCTTTTTCCTATGGACACTGTGTAAGCGCCAGAGGGTAATACAGCCAGATCTGTCCTTTCCACACATAACTGGCTACAGCACGGGGAATTCCTGAGGGGTCAGAGAGAAGCGTGTAGGCAGGAGGCCAGCTATGTTGGTGAAATACTCCAGGCACCAAGGGCGCTGGCCCGAAGTAGGGTAGGTAAAGTGAATGCGCAGAAAGCCCCCCCTGCCCAATCCAGCCCCCAGAGGGCTCCATCTCCTTGCAAGAACATCCTTCTCAACACACTTCTGGACTCCAATCTGAGCTCAATCCTGCCACTAGGTGTTAAGAATCTCTCAAGAATGTCAACTGATCCGACTGTGGCGTCTCAGCTCTGCTGAAAAGCCCTTTAAGGTTACCTCAGGGCCTCAGGTAAAAAGTCAAAAGTCAACAGTCTGGCCTGACACTCGAGGTTCCCGCTTACCTTAACCTCGTCAGCTCCGATCTAACTTGCCCACGCTCACGGCCACTCTGCCTGGGCCGTCCCTGCTCCCTTTTCACTTAGAGCTCCCTTCCCGGGGAGGCCTGGCCCCACCGCACTTGGTCAGGGGTCTCCTCTCCACCAGCCCAGATTCTCGCCCCATCACCCTGCGCTGTAGGGCTCTGCTCCTGTACGACCCTCTTCCGATACCAGGAGCTCCGGGAGAGGGAGCAGGGACGTGTGTCACTTTCTCTGCTGGGGGTGGGGGCTGGGTGCACGGGAGAGGCTCTGAAACTCTTCCTCCCAGCAGACGGGGCAAGGGTAAGATTGGGCTGTTTCTTCCTGCAGCCTGGCTGCTAGGTAAAGGTGTGTGGTGCAGAAGCGCGTGGTGGCCTTGGTCGTCGCGCCCCGAAGCCACCTGCCTCTCGGAGGAAGAAGGCCCAGAACCCCGTTTTGCCCGCATCCCTCCTCCCCGCCACGCACCACCAGTCGTTGGAGAGAAGCTCGACAAAAACGAGCTCCTGCCATGCCGCTACCTGAGCAGCAGGAGAGGCCCGACATCAGGAGTAGCGCCAGGGCGCCGAGAGATGCCAGCGCCACCATCGCTTCTTCTATGCTGAGGTAAAAAAAGAGCGATTCCACTGAGCACGAGGGGCAGACAAGGAAGCGCGACGCGTAAGAAAACGCAGCAGCCAATCAGGCGCCGGCAGGCCGGGCGGGCCTATGACGTCGCTGGCGGCACCGACGTGTCCTCTCACCCGACCAGGGGCCCGGCTGGGCGCCCCCCAAGATGGCGGTGGCGGTTTCTCTTCGGGCGCCGGAAAACGGCGTGAGAACAGGCAAGCCATGCGCGTGCGCAATGCCAGGTCTGCGCCCACTTCGCGGACTTTGGGCACCTCCGAACTCTCGCGAGAGCGGTGTTCGCCTGTTGGAACGTGCCGCGGTTGTCAGTTTCTGTCATGGCGCTGAAGGTGGCGGTGGCTGTCTGCGGCCCTGCGAAGTCAGTGCTCAGGCCTACCCTCCTCTGCCGTCCTTGGGAGGTGAGAGGGGGGAGCAGGTCGCAGGGACAGTCGCCGCGCTAGGTGGGGGGTCCTTGCCCCTCGGTGGGGTCTGACCTGGGGCCTTCGCCGCCACAACGTCCTGGAATCCGATTGGTTGCAGGCCCGGTGAGGGGTGGGGAGAGGGCTGTGCACCAGAGTTGATTGGTCGCCTCCGTTGTCAGTGAGGGGATTGGCTAAAGTTGGCGCTGATCCGGCTTTCCCAGGGGTCTGCATCTTGTGGTCGGGGAGCTAGGGACAGGTAGGGAGAACGCTCTTAGGTGTCCCGAGTGTCGCCTCTCTAGTGTCCTTGTGGGACCGTTCCCAAGGCGGTCGCATGTCTTGGTCTGCCTTGTTCTTGTCGCCTTGGGAATCCGGTTCCTTGCATACGTGCCTCGGGTTTCTCTTGTGGACTGCTTTGCCACATGTCCCAGTGGAGATAGAGAATTGGATTTGGCCAAGTACCCCCAGCCCTTCCCCGGACATTCTTATAGCTCCAGTTGTTTCCACCGCGGGTGCTTGGAATAGGAGGGAGCTAGGGTTTCTGAGGCTGGCGAGTGGAGGTCCCCCGGGGCTTTCCGGAGTTCTCCGTTTAGGACCTTGGTTATTTGGGTCCAATTCCTCTCTCTTTACACACTTAAATGAGGATAATTTAGTTTCTGGGCGGGTCGTAATCCATCTGAAGCATCAGCGATCCAGGACTGGCCTGGAGGACAAGAGATATGCTCTCCAGGCCTGGCTACCCCACTGACCTACTGTGTAGCCTCAGGCCAGGCCCCTCCTCTATCTGGGTTTCAGTTTTGCTTCTTTCTCAAAAGATCTCAAAAGATCCAGCCAACACTGGCCTAGAACCCTGAAACTTTGCTGACACTCCTTGTGGAAACATCTCTTGTCTTCTTCCCCTCTCTTACCCTTGGGGAAGACCTTGTAACAGCTTATGCTTTATGAAATTCTATTTAAAATGCTCACTTCTCCCACCTTGCTGATGAGAGAGACTTTCCAGAGGCCCTGACAGCTCTGGCTGCTAAGCTCCCACAGGTCCTTTGTGAAGACATTTATCTCCTCCCTGACTCTTGTGTGTGTGTTTGTGTCCACGTTGGGGTGGACATAGGGGTCTGTGAACAATCTGGGCAGTGTCTTGCCCTGAGACTGGTTGTCGTGGGTATGGGAACCTTTAGAAGTGAACCCCAGGTCTTTGCTCCCGCTAATTGTGGGAAAACATGCAACTACCATTTATACTTGATCTGATGGAAACACGCTGAAGAGAGAAGCCTCACTAAGCTGTGGAGTGTGGGAGCCCTTTGGTGGGAACACATACCACCCTGGCTTCCTTTACGTAGCACCATCAAAGAATGAGGGCTGACAGTCCACCCTCTCGCTTGAGAACTGAGCAGGAAGCCTATGCATCTGTCCCATCCTGCATACCAAGCTCCTTTGATGGGTAGATTCACTGAGCCTGGATGTGAGGCAGAACCTCTGTAACCATGAAGGAAGGTGTCTGCATCTGCTCAGAGCAAGGTCAAGGGAGTCTCTATCCTGAGAGCTCTCTGGGTCTTTGGCCAAAGCTAGGAGGAACATCTAGCTTAGGGACCAGGTGAGGAAGAGGTTTAACCCTGGTGGTGGTGGTGTTGCGATTTAAGGTGGAGGAGGGGAGTTGCACAGACCAGAGCCAGGCCTGGTGCAAGGGCTGGCTCACCACCACACCTGAGTTACCTGTTCAGTGTCAGTGGACTTCAGAGGGCCAAAACCCAAAGAGAATTACTGCCAGGAGCAGCAAGGGTCAGCCCAGCATCCCCCCCGCCTCCCACAATTGGACACCAGTGTTGAACGCTGGCCTGAGGGATTGTTGGGGTGAAGGGGCTGGTATGCTTTTGCACAGCTCTGCATGCCTGGCTAGGGACTTCCCATACTTCCTCTTGCTTAATCCTTTTAACAGTTGCATAAAATAGGCACCTCTGTTCCTTGGATTTCAGGTGAGGACGGGAAGTGGAGCAAGGTTAAGCTGTTTGTTGCCAAGAGTAGTAGATGTTGATTCGGACTGAGGTCTCCTTAGCCCCAAAAGCCCTCCATCTCGTCCTACGTTTTCTGATAATGCTCATTCATTCAGGAAATGTTCTTGTGTCCTTGCTCTGAGCCAGGCATTCTGCTGTGTCTTAGGGTAACCGTAGGGGACTAGACAAACTTGGCTTCCACTCTCGGTGGCTTAGGGGTCTGGGAGGGAGCAAGGCAGTGACAGCCTAGGGAGATTGTGGTTGGAAGGAGAGGAATTGAGATAGGGCTTTGGAAGGCCAGAGGTGGGTACTAATAGCTCAGCACCCTTAGGGCGTCAGGGAAAGCTTCCTGGAGGAAGGGCAGTCTAAGCCTTCTTCCACAAGTTTGTATTGATAGCCTATAAAGAAAATGAATCAAACTGCTGACAAGTATTAGAAGGAAAATAGAAAAGCCCTGAGTATGCCTGTGACTACAGATCCAGGGACCACATGGGTCAGCAGATATCCCCAGAGCATCTGGTCCTAGCAGTCATCTCGCTCCTAGCGCCTGACTTGGGTGGGTGAGTGGCACATCTGTGCTTCCAGAGCTTGTGCAGGTGGATGCCTTGTGAATACTGGCCAGGAGACTCAGATGGTCAGCCTCTGCTTGAGCTTTCCAGACTTCTAGTAGGAAGGCATGGCGAGAAATGGCCACAGTGACTCTGCTGTTGGCTGGAATGCTCTGATGCTGCTCCACAGGCAAGTGGCAGGGCATTACCAAGTGACAAGAAGGACCTTGGTTCTGCTCCTGCTTCTTTGGATTGAGGGACATGTGGGCCTGTAGTCCCCCTGCAGTGGGACCTTGGATGAGGGCTTCTCCTTCCAGGACAATGTGGGGACTCCAGATTGGTCACTTCTCAGCACCTGTCTTATTTGGCTCGGTGGTTTTTGCTCTGAAGCTGTCAAGCGTGGCACCGATGTGGCCAAACATGGCTGATTCCGAGCTGGAGTTGGGGGACATTTGTCATCCCTGTAGGCCATGAAGCAGTTTTGCAATCCTTTATGAAAGCCTTCCAAAAGATTGGTGTCTGTTATTCTTCTAAAAATGGTTGGGTTTTTCCTGCATGGTTGCTTTGGATATCTGATTCTGGAGGGCAGTTCCCAACAGTACTTGTCTCTCTGGAAGGCAAGCTGGGTTCTGTCTTTTTCTTCTCATCTCTATGTTCTATATTTTTTCCATGTTCTGATTACATGCTGCTTTTTAAAAAAGATTTGCCAGCACTGGCTGGTGTGGCTCAGTGGATTTGAGTACCGGCCTATGAACCAAAGGGCTGCTGGTTGGATCCCCAGTGTAGGGCACATGCCTGGGTTGTGGGCCACATCCCCAGTAGGGGGAGTGCGAGGGACAACCACACATTGATGTTTCTCTCCCTCTCTTCCCCTCTTTAAAAAAATAAATAGGTGAAATCTTTAAAAAAATAAAAAAATTACCATATTTACTGATTTTTGGGGGGGGTGGGGATTGATTTGTTGTTCCTCTTACTGATGCATTCGTTGGTTGCTTCTTGTATGTGCCCTTACTGGGATTCGAACCCACAACCTTGGTGTATGGGGATGACGCTCTAACCAACTGAGCTACCTGGCCAGGGCCATATGCTGCTTTTGTAATAAGGAAAAACAATTTTAAAAAAAGATAAAATGATCGTTGTGGTGGCCTTGTTTATTATAATGATTTCCTTTATTGTACGATGTTTAGCATGCCAACTTTTCCATGTAACAGACATCACTGAATAGGAATAATTGACCAAAAAGGAATCAGAAACAACTAAAGTTGGGGGAGGGGAGGAAAACATTTTCTTTTAAAAACTGACCATGGAGCTAAAGGAGGCATAAAGGATTATGGCGACCCTCCACGGTGCTTCAGCAGGCTGGTCTCTGGAAAATGGCTCTGGAGCCATTCGTCTGGGCATGCATTGGGTGCTGTTGTTCACTGGACAGTGTGCATGGGTGAAGTGGAAGGGGTGATGTGGAGGAGGTGACATGGGGGGTGACGTGTAGGGCCTGTCTGGGCACTGTGGGGACAGTTGCTGTTCCTTGCCAAATTGACTTTTTGGGCCGGGCAACAATCACTAGCATCTGGGTTCTCTTTGCCAGGTTCTAGGTGCCCAGGAGGCCCCCCGGAGATGCTTCTCAGTAAGTACTTGCCTGGGTGTGCGTGCGTGCATCTGCGTAGTATGTGTGTGCTTGCACGTGTGTATATTTGTGTTTATGCATGTGTGCCTCTGTCTGTGCGTGTGCTGGTGTATGTGCTGTGCCTTTTTGTTCCCTGGCCCTCTGTCCTTCCCTCTGAGGCATGGTCTCCAGAAGTCACCCATCCCTCCTCCTTACCTCCTTACCTCCTTACCTGAACTGTGCTAGACAGTATCCCCAGGGAAGAGAGTCTTGTTCCTCTAACCTTGGCTGATCCAAATCTTCTTCCTTCCTTTTCCCCCTCTAGCAACAAACAATTGTGAGTATTCTTTTCATCTGCATGTTAGATTTGGGGCTTTTAGTTGCTTTGGGACTGACCCAAGTCCAGGTCGGGGCAGGGACTGCCTCTGCTATAGTCCTCTTGATCAAGGAGCCCCTGTGATCAGCCCTGTCTGGGATGGGGCGGGGCGCAGGGCTAAAGTACCCCAAACTGGCACTTCATGACTGGCTGACCCTCTGGGTCAGTGCTGGTGGGAGGAAGGGAACTAAAGGCCTGCATTCACCCTCTTCCTCCTTCCAGCCTCCATCAGCTAAGTATGGTGGGCGACACACAGT